GAACAGGGAGCAAGCAAACCGTTGTCAGCTCCAATGGGATCTGCAGGGACCACAGACCTTGGCCATTTCCAGGCCAGGACATCAGACGCTGTGCCCTGAAAAACCACAGCCATGCTGCTCATGCAGCTGATGCCTGGATGCCCCCTCCACACTTGAGGCCATGCTACAGATGGAGAAACCATATTCCTAAGACATTCAGGAGTTTTCTGAATGTCTACCAGATAAAGGATGGATGAGCTGGAGTTCAACCCGAGTCAGGGTCCTTCCCACAGGACCCTGCTCTGATTCCCACTGTCCCAGTCACATCCTGGTATCTCTCAGGCCCCAGGCTCAAAGGACTAAGGTGGAGTGGGACAGACAGCCCACTCTTGCTTGCTTCTCAAAAGATATCAAAGCCTCCTGGGAGCAGGAGCAGGAGCAGAACCTATAGGGCCAGCTGTCAGCAGCAGTGTGCACAGCAGGTAGGGAGCAGTCAGGAAACTGGTCAAGGGGACCAGGACATCAGTGCTGACAGGACAATGCCCACCCCATGCACCTCTGCCCACTGCAGTGGGAAGAGCCTGGATGGAACAGAGGACCCCAGGCACTGCTGTCCAAGCTTCTCCCTACAAGGACTCTCAGCATCATGCCCACTAATGCTTAGGATCCAGTGTGGCCACTCACTTTCTTCCTAGGAAAAGTTCCTGGCTGGCCGACTGTCTTTAAGAACAATACCCACTGACGCTGATCAGAAATCCACATCCCTGCCTCTGCCACACACAACACCAGGCAGCAGATGAAATTATGGTCATTTCAGCTCCACAGAGTTGGGCTGTGTCCGGCAGGCAGAGTGATGAGAAGTGGCAGGTGCTTGCTGCTAGCTCTGGCTTGCCTGGCCCTAAGGCTGGAGCTTCCAACTTCCCTGCTGAGGTGTAGCCAGCTTCTGACAGGACCCAACTGTTCATGCTGGCCCCTGGGGAGCCAAATAGGGCTGGACTGAACCAATCAGCATCCCTGGCTGGGTGGGGACAGAGAGTGCACAGACTCCAGCTCAGTGTCTCTATTCTCTGGGATCAGCCCTGAGTAACAACTGGGCTTCCAGGTATAACTGAAGCAGAGAAGCTGGCTGTGTGTGCTGGTACCTTCCATACCAATTGGACACCAGGAGCCTTTCTCTGCCTTTCTTCAGGGCCTTTGTTTCAGGCCCATGGAGCTCAGACAAGATCCAGCCAGGCTGTTTACAAGAAACTTACCTCACTGCCACATTGCAGCCATGGTTGCAAACTCCCACTGTCCCTCATCACGGGTGCATTTCTGGCATGGTTTCACAGCTTCACCCATCAGAAGGTACAGCCCATCTCTCTGTCCCCTAGAGCTGCACTTTCAGCAAGGAGCCTTGAGGCTCCAGAGGAGGAGACCCCAGGGCACAGCCGGCCAGCAGCCCCATGTGTGCGAGCCAGACCTGACAGCCAGGGATGCAGCACAGGAGCAGGCATAGCCTTCCCACTTCAAGCCACTGGGTTTCTGTGTGGAGTCTGCAGAGAGAGCTGACTTATACACTGGTGCCATACACAGTGAAAAAAACTTGGTTTCTTTCCCTCTCCCTCGATTCTTTCTAAGCAGATGTCCTGGGTGTGGAGGCATAACAACAGATGTGAGGTCAGCAGGCTGGACTTGCAGCCCAGGGCTCTGTGACCTAGACAGTGGAGCTGCACCACCTGCTCCCCTAGTGTGGACAAGGAGTTGTCAATGTCCCATGGGACTCAAACATTCTGACATTCAATGGCACCTATGTTTCCTGTTCTAAACTCAGGCCAACATTTTCCTTGACTTCTTAAAATTCTGAATTTTTCCCCTTTATTTTTGAAAGCAATTCATGTTTTGTCAGGACCTCCTTTATTAGGTCTGTACAACAGCATCTTCCAACCCTAAGTCAGCAAGCTGCAACTTGTACAAAGAAGCCTTTTGACTCTTGGATCTCATCAAACTACTGTATAAAAACTTGGGGGAGAAAAGGAAAAAGCAAGGTTAATTGAATAGTTTTTAAACTGTGAACAGGTATTTTTAATCCTTGGTATGGGCAGAAGAGCCTCTGAGACCTGAGATCCAAATCTGGTCTCTGAATGGCCACCAACCCCTAACACTGCCCACAGCAGCCTCAGGTTTGCACAACCCTGCACTCTAGAGGATTTCGTTCAAGACATATTGAGGAATAGTTCCTATTTGAAAAACTTTTGAATCTGTTTTCTCTTATCACATCACCGATCTCCAGAAAGTTGACAAAGGCCTGAAAGCTCTCTGGGCTCCTGAGTGACAGTTTCTGGAAGCACAGGAATTGGCCCTGTGACCTCTCTCTGAGCTGAGAGTTCTGTAATCTCTCTTAAGAGATAAGCATAGTTGAGAAGGTTACCAATTTCCAGGGGCTTTGGCAATTTCTACTGTGTCCTGTTGCTGCCTGATATGTGACAGCTCTTCACTGACTTTCTTGAAGCCCTTTATTTCAGTGCCAGGACACAGCAAAATGATGATTGCATTCCAGGTAACACCTGGGTGTCTGTGTGTAAGCAAAGCAAAGACCCTGGCCATGTGTGCCGGTACCTTCCACTTCACCTGGGCACCAGGAGTCCTTCCTGGAGCTTTGATCTGCCAGGAGAAGGTGATATCCTGATGCTCACCCTTGAGAGGTTCTTTGCAATGACCTGAGGCCCACGTGGATCAGAGAAACAATAACCTGTGTGTGTGTGTGTCGGGGGGCGGGGGGTCCTGTCAAGAAAAGACAATTGCTAGCTGGGGATCTGGAAGCTAAATGAGTGCATGGGAGAAATAATAATTTCAAGTTTAAAAGTCTACCACACCATGAAATTTTTTCATTTTTCTTTTAGACTGCTCTCTCTTTGGTGGACACCCATTTCCTGACACCAAGATGCCCTGGTCTTCTGAATCACTCTCCAACAACAGGCATTCCCACAGGAGGTGCCAAGGCAGAGCTTCACAGGGCCACCCACAGCCAGGAGGGAGAAGAAAGACCTTAAGCACCACCGAAAATAAAACTCCAGGGCTCAAGCGCTAAATTGGGCACGCAGATTCAGAGAACTAAAAGAACTCAGACTCAGAAATGTTTTCAGGAAATGCAACCTACTTAAATATATCTATGTATCTGCCCATATCTCCATGCTCGACACAGCCTCTGGGAGGCCCTGGGGGAGACCCCCAAAGCCTCCACCTGAGAACTTTCCAAGCACCTGCCACAGGAAGTGTCTATAAGAACTGGACACTGGAGCTGACGGCAAGGCATTTTCTCTCTTTCACCCTCATCACCCTTGCTTTTGGTGGGGGCAGAGTCAGTGGGGCCTTGGGGCCTTGTACTGTGCTGTGCTCCACAGGTGCCTGCCTACTCTATCAAGAAAAGTCCAGTTTTAGTCACAAAACACACTAGAGGCAGAGGTGTAACGTGGCACATGTTCTGGCAAACACACCAGCCTCCAGAGCCAAGCCCAAGGATGGAGCTGAGAGACCCAGGCCAGAAGAGGGAAGCAGCCTGCTGGGTGGCGATGGACTCTCGAGAGCCTCCTCAAACCTCAGCTCTTCCTCATGGATGCACAGTCCTCCTGCTGACTCCTTCCAGGGTGGGTCTCCAGGATCAACTCTGCCCTGCCCTGAAGTTGAACCACAGGGCTGTTCTGTCACAGAAAGGACCCAGGAATAGTAAGCTGCCTGCCAAGGTAATGTGGCATCTTCCTCCCATTTAAAACTTTCTGCTGGAGAGAAGATAGCCCAGGGCCCTTCCTGGGGGTCCCAGGCCACAGTCCTGCAGCAGGTGCAGAGGAGGACACCAGGCATGCTGCTTGGCAGGGGTGGAGATGGGAGTTTCACAGGTAGGAAAAGGGGACCTGGGAGTCACCCAGCAAGGAGCTGACGACATTGGGCTGTAATGAGCTGCTCCCCGGTGCCCCCTCCTGACAGCAGTGCTCCCAGGGCTGCTGAGGGTCCCAGAGAGCAAGAAGACCTGTTGTCCCATACCGCTCTGGCCCTAGACGCCACCAGAGGAGGCCTGGGCGGGCACTGCACACTCCTGAAAGCATCCGGGATCTCAGCCAGAGTCCGCACCAGAGGAGCGGAAGATCCCGCTACCTGGAGCCCCAGCTTTACCACCCAGGCGCGGCCAGGGCGCAGGACTGAGACCCACGCAGGGCTGCTCCTGGTGTTGAAGGTGGGGCGCACGGATGTTTCCCTAAATAACTTCGAACGTCTTTCTGGTTCCCTAAGAAACCCCAAATGCATTCGTCCCCTGGCCCTCCCATAGCATTAGAAATTCAATCGTCCCGGTCGGTTCCCCTGGGCTCCGCCACCCTCTTCACCTGTCTCCCTCCACCGCCTCCCTCCCTCCTCCCACGACCCCCACGGGCGACCCGGGCCGGGGTCTTGGGCTCCACCTGCTGTCGCTCGAGAAGCGGCACGGGGGATTGGGACGTGGACACTGGTCAGACCCACCGTCAAGGGCGAGTCCTTCAGAATCCCAGCCCGAACCGAGCCTGGAGAGGCCTTTAGGACCGAGGGGGAGCCCTTGCTTCCCGGAGTAGCTACAAATTCCTGTCCCCCCCGCCCTGGCCTCCTCCTGCCCAGTTCCAGACGCGACCCTGGGCCCAGGAGAAGTTGGCGGCTGGGCAGCCTCCTCTCCTATTCCTCCTCTCCCCTCCCGATCCCCCCACCCCCGTCCTCCTCCTGCTCCTCCCGGTCCCTCTCCTCCTCCCGGTTCTCCTCCTTCTCTGTCCCGTCACTCCTCCCGAGCGCGTGTCGCTAGCCTCAGCCCGGAGCTGAGCCCTGCCCCCCCCCACGCCCCGACCGCCCTGATTGCCCGGATCGCTCCCGCCCAGTTCGCTCTGGGGGCGCAGAGAACTCGACCCCGCCCGCCCGGGCTCCCGGGTTCCTGGGCTCCGGGGAGCGCGGGGCGAGCAGGGCGCGGGGCGGGGCGCCCGGGGGAGGAGGAGGAGGGACAGAAAAGGGACGGGGGAGGGGTACAGGAGAGGGAGGGGAGAGGGACCAGAGCGCCGGGAGCCAGAGGAGGCGGGCGCCGCGCCGCTCCCGGCACCGCCACGCACGCTCGCCCTGCCCGAGAGACGCGGGGCAGCCTGGTCGCGGGTCACCTTGTCCCGGAGGTGAGTCCCCTTCCCGAGGTCGGTTGAGGCGGTGGCCGCGAGGGGCGCGGGGGAAGCGGGGAGCTTCCCTGCTCCGCCTTGGGAGCGCGCCGCCCTGGGGGCCCAGAACCCGGAGGGTCCGGCGGTCGCCACGGTGGTGTAGCGCGCGCGGATCCAGAGCCCGTGGGAGGTGCAGGGGCCCGGCTGCGCTCGGTCCCAGCCTCCATCAGAGAAACGGGCCAGGGGCGCACGGCGGGACTTGGTACTCAGGTCTCCGTGTGACCCCGGGAGACCCGTAGCCTGGAAAGCAACAGCCGCCGGGCTGGGAACCTGAGCCACGGAGGACCGGGAGGGAGAAGACCTGAGTTCTCGAGCAAAGGGGTCCAGGAGGCGATGCGAGAGCCCGCGGGGCTGGGGATCTTGGCAGCCCCGGAACCCAGGCCGGGACTCGGAGCCCTCGCCGAGGCTGCCGCGAGCTGTCCGCCGCCTTGCTAGGCTACTGTCTGCAGCCAGGGAGCCGATATGGGAGCAAGCCAAGATGAGGGGAGCTCCCGGTCCAGCCTCGCCCATCTCCCGTGCGCTCTCCAAGGGTCGCCGCGGAGTTGGCGCCCCTTCTCCCAGGGAAGGGGCTCTGGGCTGTGCGCCTCCGGAGATCCCACTGGGTGGGCGCTGCGGAGCCTTCAGAGGGTCGAGGAAAGGATCTACCTGTCGCCCTCATTTCCTGGGGTCCCCGTGCATGCAGAAACCTTGGCGCTTGGCACTCAGGCTCCAGGCGCGAGCAGCCTCCTGCAGCGACAGATGCGCCGCCCCTTGTCGCCGCGGAACTGGGCGCCCGCGCCTTCCCCAGGCCAGTGTTCAGCGCAGCAGATGACAGTGGAGGGTTGGCTAGTTTGGGGGGCGTGGGAAGCTGGCTGCTTTTTCTGGGAGAATCAGGCGGTGGGGCACGAGCGTCCGTATCTGCCGGCCTCCCTCCTGCAGGCTGGCATTAGGTCCCTTAGGTCCCAGCCCAGCGTGAGAGGCTGTTGCGCAGCCCTGCAGCCCTGGGGTGACCGCCTCAAAACAAAGCGAGGGAGCCAACTTTTCCTGCTGAGGAGCCATGGCTGAGCGTAGTTGGTGCAGGGGCAGAGTCTGCAAACAGTCCAGTTGCCACCAGGTCTGTGGGTTCTGGAGAGGACTGGGCACTTCCTGAGGAGTGGCAAGCTGTGGGTTCCCAAGTGCTCTGTCTGTGGATATGCAACCACAGGTCCCAGGCCTGTGGGATGTGAGATTTGGCCTGGCCTGGAGCAGAGGGACGCGCACTGATCAGATGCCATTCCCACCCTCCCCTCCGCCTGCCTAAAAGCAGAGCCTTCATGGTGTTCAATGGAGGGAAAGGGGAGGGAAGCTATTTTTAAACTTTTTATGATGGAAAATTTCGGTGGTGCACAAAGGTAGAGAGAGGAGTGCACTGCACCCTGGCCGGCACCCAGTCACAGCACAGGATGGAGGAGGCCATGTTTGATGAGCAATCCCAGACCTCCTTCCAAAAATGTCCGGTGAGAGGTGCGGGCTTTGTCAGTAGCCTGACTCAGTCATGCCACGTTCTCTACACAGATCACAGTACCCCTTTGTACCGCACAAACATGTACAGTTAGAGTTTGTCAGTATCCAGTACAATTAATTAATTAAAAACAACAAATTACCTTGATTCCTCACTCCACTGCACACACATCCTCCTGTCTCTCCAGAAGATGACCGCTCGTTTCACTTCCTCTAACCATCAAATGCCTGCTGTTTGTTGCTGTTGTCATTTTGCTGTTTGTCTCTTTCGTGCCAGGAATAGACCCCAAGGCAGCGGCACACAATACTGGGCTACAGAGCTACACCCTAGCCCAGAAATGACCATTGGGAATCATTCCTTTAGAATGTAAGTGATGTTAAAAGTGAAGGCATCCTCACTTTATTTGGAGGTTGAACAGGATTCTATGCTACCTACGGCTTCATGAGGCACAGGAAGGGCTGTGGAAGGAAGAAAGCTGAGTCCAGACCTTAGGCCAGCTGTGGCTCTGAGCAAGGCAGTGGGCTTGGGGTTGTGTGAGGCTCCAGCTGAGCCTGCTAAGCCAAACAACTTTTCTTCTTGGTGAAAACTTTAACACTCAGTTCACAGATCATGAGCAATTCCTTCCACTTTTAGTTAGCATTGACACAGAAGAGCTGCCCTGGACTTTACTGGTTCTCATTAGCTTTACTTCTTGAGCTGTTATTATTAAAGAGCATGGAGAGAGATTTCCTCCTGCAAGTGCTATTCTGAGGCCTGGGCAGAGCACTGCAATCTCACTTACTAATTAGGAACCCTCGAGTCATCACACAGGACATCCTGATAGGCCTTCTGCTTGCTAGGGCTTAGCCTCCAGTGTGGCTTCTGCTAGCTGGACAGGCATGTGGTGCATGGGTGAGGCCACCAGAGGCCAAGGGAAGGGGCATCCTCCCCACAGGGCTCTTCCCATCCTGTACACACCTCTGCAACTGCCTTTAGACAAAAGCTGTGCCTCCAGATTGTCAGTGGCAGCTGATATTTGAATGGCTTTGTGGAATGCACTGTTGAAACACACTTTGTCAACCTGGCAAATGTTTAACCTCTTGTGGGCAGATGGTTATGACCCCCCTCTCACTTGAATAAAACCTTGGTCTTTGTGACCAGCACAGCCCTGTGCCCCTCGCTCTGGCCTCTACAGAGCCCTATGCCTATTGGAAAATAAAGATTCCTGGGGATAGTAGGATGCCTGTGCCCCACAGTTTGAACAGACATTGCATTGTGTTCACAGGGTTCTTTGAAGGAGTAAAGGTGGCAGGTTTAAAGGATGAAGGGTTCATTTGTGGGCCTCAGCAAACAGGGTGACAGCAAAGCAACCCATGGCTTCAGAGTACCATCACACAAGGCCACTCTGTAGGAATGCCCAAGTCTAAGAAGCTCTTGGGTCATGGCTGTCGACCTAGCCTCACTGTGCAGGGGACATTGTGCCAAGATGTTAAAAAAGCAAAAGTATTCACATTAAAGGTCAGCAAGCAGTTTCTACCCACATCACCAGGATTGGAGTGATGGCAGTAATAGCAGTTGGCTTTACATGTGATCCTTCATCATTACCTGTGCAAGATCCTTGAACATATCAAACTGTCACTGAGAGTTTGCACATGTGTATTTCAGAGAATCTCCAGGACTGAGGACTCAGCCCAGGCTGCAGCCCATTCTGGCCACCATTGTATGGAGAGGCAGATGGTGTGCTAGGTGCAGCTGGCAGGGGACACACACTTCTGCCCTTGTGCCCTGTGGGACTTTCTGGAATACCTGTGAGATGAGATGATTCTGGATTCAGTCTCTGGCCTCTCTTGTTAGTCGTTGGAATAATCTTAGACAAATCTGAACTTTTTTGAGATCTATTCTTTCCAACTATGTTGTCTCCAGACTTTAAAAACAAGTTACTTCAGGCTGTCATCATTGGCTAAAGGATGGAGGACATATTAGTGTCTTCACTGGAGGTCTCTGTGGCTCATGTTTGTGTCATATGGCTTCCTGAGGAGGTAGGAGGGCCCCAGGTCCTGCCTTGTGGCCCTGGTCCCACAGCACCACTTGTTCACACTCGTGGGGGGGGGCATGCCCGCCCCTGCACTGCAGGTATGCAAGTGCTCTGAGCAGACCTGCCTGCAGAGGACTTACAGAGGCCAGCAGGAGAGGGTGTGAGCCACAGATTTTGAGGTGTACCTCTAATGCAACTACATTTAGATTCATATTATATTATAAATGTTACAGGATGCAGTCTGAGGTCAAATATTTTAAGATGCATTTTAACAAACTGCCACCACCAAGTATAATCAGTGATGGCCTCGGCTACATTGTGTGGCTCACACAGTCTAAATCACTTACACTACTGCATGAGAAATAATCTGTCTGTTAAATTACTGCAAATGAAGTAAAAATAAAATCAGATGCTAAAGGACAACAACTAATGAGTGTTAGGACTGGAAATAACTGTAAGAAGCAAAAATACCATAACCAGAAAAAACTACATATGTAGAAAAGGATAAAACAAAAGTTGCTTCTGAAAATACAAGCCAGGAGGCAACTTTGGGTATTTTCTTGCATTAAAAGGATTTATCTAGGAGTTCAATGAGCATCACTGCAGAGAGGTGGAGAGGTGGAGATTTTGATATTGAAGTTTAATCAATGGTCAGCATGAAAACATGTTGCTGTTTGGTGCCTAAGTGATCCTCAGTCACCCTAGCCTGCTTAGGGGACATGAGGACCAGAGAGAGCTCTGTCATTGTGAAGTGGTCTTTCCAAAGGCTTGCTGCTTGTGTTCCCCTCTGAACAGTTCCTCCATCTCCAGCAAATCTGGCTGACCTTGTTGAACACAACTTTCACACACATCTCCAATGGTCCCTTCTTCGCTCTTTCTAGACAGTTAAAACCACGACTGTTCATTCCTTCAACTTTAAAGGTATTTCTGAAAGTGAGATGTGATGCTCTCACCTGACAGCAGGCATTTGGGACTCAAGTCTCCTGCCTCCTTAGGGAAGCAGCAGAAAAATGAAATGTATCACAGGTACTCATCCACCATGGTCCAATTTGCACTTCTAGCTCAATCCCATGATTTTAGCTCTGTGTCATGGTGAAGGCCTCAGCAGGGACAGGTTTGAAATCAGAAGGTTTGTATCTGAAGATGGCAGTGGGATTTGGAAACTCTGTGGCCACACTGAGGGGCCCACAGGTGTGAACTCTGCAGACCCAGAGGGTCCCTAGCTCATCGGGTGACCAATTTGTACCATCCCACTGTGTAGGGTCTACAAATGTATTCACTAAAACAGCATTTTTGTGTGCTGCTAGGTTCAGAGCTCAGGGTCTCATACATTCTGCGCACACACACACACACACACACACACACACACAAACCATCAGAGAGCTGCACCCCAGCCCTGACACACATTCGTGTCTCTGCCAGAATGCATATCCACAGTCTCAACCTCAGCCCATGACCCCATGTCTC